TTGTTGAAAATCGAGCTCGATGCGTTACGTACGGAAGCGTACAGGTCATGTGACGAAGTTACAGCACAAACCGAGTTTGAAATCGCCTGAAAAGGAGAATTTTACCCCAAGTTAGGCCCAGGCTACGGTAGGGCCAGAAACAAGTTCAGGGAGTTTTGCGTTTTAAATGCGCAATTGAGGCTTGAGATGCATCTGCTTCTGGTCGGAAGGCCTCTGCGGACCACATCCGCTCGGTAACATTCCGAAAGTATCGTTCCCACCGCTAAAACGATCTCGTTTACAGATCACTTTTTGATCCCACGATTTTTCGCGCTTGGAGCACGAGCTTACTGTGTCTGTTTTGAAAAAAGTAATTGCTCAAGCAAGAGCATCACCAGAAACCATCACCAATGGTTTTCGAGGTGAAAAAATGACGCTGAATCCGGAAATCGCGAAAAAAATGGTACTGCCTACATATTTTTGTGGATCGGCCAAAACCTAATTTTCAGAAAAATAATTTTTTAAAATTTCGGAGGTGGTTTCGTAAAAATCTCACAAGTTTTTTCAGCTTCACAAACCCCAATTAGTATTGGGTAATTGGGATAAAAGCGCTATAATGACCTGCGATTTCCCTAGACCAAAAATTGGGGGTGCCTACAAATTTATGTGGAGCGGTGTATATTCTTGTTATTCACAACCCTACCATAAGATCATTGCTACCATTCTAGGTCTTGACCGACATCAGATACGTCAACGCATGTAAAATGTGTGCTTCCGCCAATTCATCTCTGCCCCTGATCCGTTCCGCCGAGGAAAACGAATTCTTATGGCGTAAGCACTTATGCCAACGGAGGGTCGAGTATCTATTTTAGAGCTGCTCCTGAGCCATGTTAATTTAGCAAACGTTACCGTGCCAAATCGAGGTCTTTGCTCCCCATTGGGTGCCCATCGTGTAAGTTTCCAGATTTTTTACATTCACTCAAGCACTCAAGATTTTTTACAATAAAAAGGGTCTTCAGTGTGCTTTTACGCGCTGTCACAAAGCTCGTCATAAGTTTTTCGACCATCCATCGAATGGCATTTTAAAAATGTCGAAAATCTGGTTGAAAATGATCCTTTCAATATTTTTTTTTAGTTTTTGAAGCTCTATTGATCGCCATTTTAAAACATAAAAAATCTAAAAAATCCGCTCTTCCGCCGTTAACGCATTGTCGCGAGCAATAAACAACGCCTAATTTCCATAATATTCCAGGAGCCAACTGAAAACAACACCTTTTTCTGGGATGATGGTTCTGCATTGGAGTACAGTAACTGGTCGGCCGGGGAACCAAACAACTATGCAAATACTAACGAAGCATGTGTACTGGTAAAAGGGCAATTTTGGCGATATCTTTTCCTAGATGTATTTCTACCGTAACAAACTATCGCCCGACGGGTAGGTCCGAAAAAATTAAAGCCACGGAACTTTCAGAACTCCCTATACGGGCAATGGAACGACGACATCTGCAGTGGCGTTTTCACGGCTGTGGCATGCCAGAAAGAAGCGGTTTATCCTGATTAGGAAAATTTCTAGCCCTAAAGTTCGGTTTCAATAAATGTTATTTTTTCACATTCCACATTCGACTTTTATAAAATCATTCGACGACTAACAGTATCTGTGGGACAGGTAAGTCTAGTCGTAACTGACAAAGAGACGTTTTCTAGTGTCCACCGAGTTCCGAAATGGGACCAAGCCTGTTTTGTTAAGCATTTTTTGCCGATCAAAACCTACCTTTGAGAATCAGTGTAGCGAACATATTTCAAATACGAAGCTTCAGGGTTGAAAAATGCCCAAAATAGCCAACTTTTGCCGTTTGAACCGTCAGAACTTTCTGATTTCGGTCGCTTCGCAGATCCTAAAACGAGGTTTGAATCAGCACCAAAAAATCCCGCGCAAAATAGGCCTGATCCCATTTTGAAACCCCGTGGACACTAAAAATAGTATCCTTCTGAGAAACAGAGTTCTAGCTTCCAATGAGAGTCGGGTGTTTAAGACTTTATTGAACCCTAAAATTCAACGTCGTGATCAGAAAGCTATTTTTTTTATTTCCGCCTAAAAGCCATACGGCGTGGGCGTGAAACCCATTTCCACTCCCCGACCATGGCTACCAGAAAGCATAATTTTCAAAGTTTTCTTCCACCTGGCAGGCATTTCCCAAGATCCTAATGGCTGTGAGAGTTACCGTAATCCTGCTCTACTTTTCGTTGCCAATCCATGCTATTATCACTTTGCCGCCGCTGATTGCTCCTTCAGATGCTACGCCTATTATTCCGGTTTTCAATACTTATTATTTTATCCAAAACTCAAATACTAGTACAAAACCGCTTGGTAAATATTTTGCGCAATGTGTCAAAAGAGGAGATGCTTGTAAAGGAATAGGTGAGTGGTTATTAAGACTTATTTTGAGTACATTAGACACCACCGCCCGTTTCTACGGTATCGAAGATGGAGAACCTGATTTTCTCTACCTGAATAGCTCGCTCGGGCAATCAAATATGGAAGAGGCAGGGAAAATGATTGGCCAGTGCGGAAGTCCATTTAGCGAGCGACTTGAGGTACTTTCTCGCAGGTTGTCTATACCGCTAATCTCTAGTTCATCTGCGAGGTAGACTGGATAAGGTCGAATCTTTCGGATCATTGCTATAAGGTGTTTTTACGACGTCATCACCAAGTATTGCCCATAGGCATTTACAAATGTAACCTATTACGACGCAAAATCGCTTTGCAATGACGTCAACTCAACACTGGCTTCAGTTCATTCAAGGCAAGAAGCGGAGCTTGTGATGCGTATGTTGGTCTGGGAACTAAAATGTTTAACATGCAAGATTTCATCCATAAAATTTTATGAATATATTTTTTCTGTGTTTAGAAATTGCACTACGACAATTTGACTTCGATACTGTTTTCATTCCTCCCCAAGGCCTAGTGACCCTGCTGGGCGCTGAACGGGTCAGTTGTTATTGTTGTAAGAAATTATCTAACGTTGCGGTTAAAGTTTTCTCATTGAAATTTGAGGTTAAAATGAGGGGTCCTAGGAACCTACGGGAAATATGACCTTCTTCTGGGACGACGGATCGGCTTGGGACTACACGAATTGGTCGCCCCGTGAACCAAATGGCGATTCGCTTGATGGCCTCGAAGCATGCGTACTGGTAGCTTTTTGGCTGTAAAACTCATTGGACCTAATGCCATCAATCGAAAATACAGATTGCATACTCTTTTTCAGATGTATTCCTACTGTCCCAGCCGGTCGTATGGCCCTGGGTAAGTACCGGCTCGAGACACGCCACATACAGGGTGTCCCAAAAAAAATGAACCATCTGGCATTTCGCCGTGTTACATCCAATCGGGCCCAAAATTGGACGAAAGGTGTATCAGACCCTAAATAACAACAATCCTGACTTTTAGCCCCGTAGCTACAGTAGTTCTCGAGTTATAACGAAAATACTGTTTTTCCCGGAATTCTGTAAAGTTTTTTCGGCTATCTTTTTGGACTTTGCATTGATTTGCATCGACTTCCGGCTGCGAATCCCTAATTTTGCTTAAGAACTTGCGTAATTTTGCGTTGTAAAAATCGCTGAAATCGAAACTTATTTAATTAATTTTACTCTGGAAAAAATTTCTTAAGGCAAATAAGGCCTGCCGGACCATTTTCACTTAATGTTTCGGGGGTCTAATTCCACGAAAACCCTATGAAAAATGGAAAATAAAGTTTGTTTTTGCCATAACTCGAGGACTACTGTAGCTACGGGGCTGTAAGTCAGGATTGTTGTTATTTAGGGTCTGATACATCTGTGGTCCAAATTTGGGGCCGATTGGATGTAACACGGCGAAATGCCAGATGGTTCGTTTTTTTTTGGGACACCCTGTATGTTTTCAGGAGGTGTCGCTATCCAACGGGCACATGGAACGACATAGCCTGTGACGTATATTTCGAAGCTGCAATTTGCAAAAAAGACGCGATATTGCTTTAGTGAAATTTTCTCGATTCGTGAAACAGCAACCACGATAGACTTTTTCTGTGGCGCTCCAATATCCAGTTTTTAATAAACACGTTTTAAGGAAAATGGAACATCACTAAATTTAATCCAATTTAAATTTACGACGCGTTTATATGAGTTCGCAAAGGCGTTCTCTCAGGTCTACGCACCCTTGTAACGACTTCAACGTCACGCCACAGTCACATCTGAACGCCAATTGTCTATTTTTGAAAAATTAGAGAAAGAGCTTGCGACGTTCCGCAATGCGAAAAGTGCCCGTTAAAACCCGACAACCATTAATCAAAACCGGAATAACACCATGGTTACAAAAAAGTCCGAAATTTTTGAAGTCACGTTGGCTAGGGCCGTGCGTCGCAACGTCTAGTAGAAGTTGAAAATGTTGTGCCCTCTCGTCGCTATGCATGCCACCAACTAAATAGATGTTGTCACTAATTCTTGCCACATTCCTGTTTGTTAACGTAGCCCTTTGCCAGGAACACTATTTTATTCGCGGTCTCGGCGTGAAAGGGACGCCAAACCGGACCTGCTTTGCACTTTGCGCTTATCGGGGGGCAGACTGTATAGGGCTAGGTAAGTGTACGTTTTTAATACATATTTTTAGATTACCCGTGTGAGTTTTATGGGCCAAACGACTCGGAGCCCGAATTTGTACATGTAAATACTACGTACGGTGGCGAAAAAGCGGAAGCTGAGGGGATAGATTTTGGGAACTGCGACGAGCCATTCACGATCGAGCTTAAGGTAGGAATTTTTGAAAACTTTAGATGCTAAAACTTTCAGCTTGAAATGTGTAGTTTAGATATTTCAAGTTTTAAAATTTTCTAAACCTATAATTTAGCTACCTTGCGATCCCGGTTGGACTCTCCTGGCCGCTACAAACAGCTGCTACAAGGTTCTACTGCACTAAGTAGCACAAAAAAAACCATTTCTAGGCGTTCGGGGCAATCACGACAGTTGATGCGAGGGCCAATTGCACGGCGATGAACGCAAAAGTGGCGTCGGTACATTCGGATGAGGAGAATGCGTTTATACGAGGTGAGACCGTAAATCCCATAAATTGTTACTGCAAGATTCATTTCAAAAAATACGGAACAAACCTTCGCGCTTTCAGATCTGATGTTGAAGGAATATTACCCAAATGGCGAACTACCGGACAAAGACCTCATTGGGATGCTAGGCGCGCAAAAGGTACAATCCCATGGATCTTTTCATAGATACTACGAAATTTCAATGACCACAGACAGGGACGTAGCTTAATGTTGGCCTATAACAAAATATAAACCATTTTTATAACATTTTACATAGTTTTAAGATATTAGCTGTTTCTTGGTATTAGCTGTTTTGTCGGAATGTTCTTTGGCGCAGCGAAATTCTGGCGAAACGACGTTTGAATAACTAAATTGTAGCGATGCCTTGGCCGTCCATTTAAAGGGACGCAGAATTCGGAACTGCCCCTCTACGCGTGGATGTCGGTAAAATCCAGACACGCGAAAACGCGTTAATTTTAACATAGGTTTGAAAAGCCGCGAAGCGTTTTTTCAACCCTGGTAACATTTTAAAACTGCACCCGGAAACGATCCGATATTTCCAGGATCTCAACAACTACAGGATATTTTACTGGGATGACGGCTCAACGTGGGATTATGCGGATTGGTCCATTGGCGAGCCCAATAGTCCTAAAAGCGAGCCGTGTGCAGGGGTATCAACTGTACAGTAACACCAAATCCTGAATTCCAGATGTATTTGCACTCTCTCGTAACTGCAGCCGACGGGTAAGCGCATAGTAGAAATTGGCGGTTCCTTGCTACATTTATTCGTGTCTTTAATGTGATTTCATTGATTTCAGTCTACCATACGATGGGCGGTGGAATGATTGGAGCTGCGGGGGCTACTGGGATGCGGCTGTTTGTAAAAAAGCTCCGAATGACATTGCCTAAAGGGTATAAAAATTTAAATGAATTTGACGTTAAAGCCAATCAATTGGAATACGCAAGATAGCGGCACCACAAAGGTCGGTCCCAAAGCTGGACCGGATGTATATCAGACCCTAAATAACAACAAAGGATTACAGCCCAATAGCCATCGCCGTTCTACAGTTATAGCGAAGTAATTTCTGTTTTCCATATGGTCTCCGTGGGATTAAACCCCCTAACTATTAAGTGAAAACTAATAGGCAGGTCTTCTTATCCTCAGCAATTTTTCCGGACGAAAATTATTGAAATAAGCGTTGATAGGCGATTTTTACAACGCAAAGTTATCCAAGACCTTAAGCAATTTTAGAAATGGCCGCCGGAAGTCGATGCAAAGTCCAAAAAAGCCGAAAAACTGCTTAGAGTTCCGAAAAAACAGTATTTTCGTTATAACTCTAGAACGACGGTAGCTATGGGGCTATAATTCAGGATTGTTTTTTTTTAGGGTCTGATACACCTCCACCGTAATTTTCGGGCGGATTGGATGGAACGCGGCGCAATGCCAAACGGTTCGATTGTTTTGGGACACCCAGTCTCGAATGCAACCATGTGTCCGAATCTATTTTACCATACGTAACATTTCATACCATTAGAAAGCCTTCTACAATATCCGTCTCTACATTCTGCTACGCAACATTTTTCCCCGCTGAAAGATTCCGGCTATTCATCTCCTCGCAAAGACGCGAAAGCTTGGTGGGCGTCCATTATGCTCTATGGATACCAGAAAGGCAGAAATTTTCAAAGTTTTTCTTCCAACAGAGACGTGCATTCCAAATTCCTAATGTTAGCCTTGGCTACCGTAATCCTGACATTTACTACTGTAACTATTTGCGAGGAACATTTCTTTATTCGAGGACTAGGCGTGAGGGCTACCCCTAACAGGACGTGCTTTGCAATTTGTGCCCACAAAGGAGAAGAGTGTCTGGGGCTCGGTTTGCTAGGGTTTTCAGGAGAACACTATTGCTTAGATTTCTCATGTCGTTATTACGGAGCGGGCGATCCGGAACCGGATTTTGTGCACGTAAATACGACGATCGGTGAGCAAAAAGCGGAGCAGACCGGAGTGGACTTTGGGATGTGCGATGAGCCATTTACGTTGACACTGCAGGTAGCCCGAAATACTGAATGCGAAGAAAATGGTGTCAGTTACCAACCGAATCGACTCCGCCGCCTACGATACCTACGACCACGTTACCGGACTGTACAGGGCTTGTACACGAAGGTTATTGCTATGAGGTAGGCCAAATCTATAAAAAGCTATCTAATGGATTTCCCAAAAAAAACCGCCTCTAATGGTCCGTAGGAAGCTCGGATTGAAATGGTTTCTATACCATTAAAAAACCTTAAAAAAGCCGAAATAACTTGCAGAAGCAGTTTCCCGCAGAAACAAGTTGTTGACACATTTTTTGATATGAAACGCTATGCAAGAACACGCTTTTTTCTGTTTCATCATGGCAATTAATAGGCTGCTGTCGCGTAAATCACCTCTATTCAGGTTTTTAACCATTTAAACGCTTGACCGATGAAAAGAAAAACGCTGGTTTCCTCGAAAGCTCCCCATAGATACCTACCTAAATCCTCAAAATTGCATGCGACGACTGCGCACCGCTTGAGGGGACACTTTTTTTTGTGATCTCCTGCATTCTCCTAGCTGCTTCCTGCCATCAATTATTGGGACGCGGAGCTGGAATGCGTCGATTCGGGCGGCCACCTGACGTCGATCCGCGACGAGGCCGAGAATAATATTATCGGGAGTAAGTATCCAAATTTCAGGATATAAATGCGTTTGTTTGAAGCCTGGTTGAGCAACAGCGGCCTTCTAACAGGAAATGTTTGGATCGGCGGTCAAATGGTGTTTTCCATCCAAACCCTGCAAATAAAAATTAACACCTAGATGACCCGAGACCGCGATGACTTCGATGTTCATTGGCTTGATGGGCAGCCGGTCTCTTACGGGCATTGGGTGCAGGGCGTAAGGAGGACCGCTAACGCCTATTGCACTGCCCGACAAATGGTGCATTTTTTAGCCGTATTTGGGCGTTATCGTCAACTTCTTTAGGAAAATGGGTGGTTTTATAACCTGACTTGCGACTCGGTCTTGCCAGCTGTATGCAAGCGGCTAGACGAGCCGGTAATAAATACCGTAGCGGTCAAAAAGTTATCAGGTCGGGAAAGCGTCTGCATCTCGAACGTCCTAGCTCTAAATTTAGTGAAAATTTTACTCTAGGTCAACTAGGCAACGGGGGAATTCGGTGCCGACATCAAAATCCTAAGAATTTTCCATTTTAGTTCATAACTTGGCAGTTACACAAATGCCGCCAAAATCAACTTTCTCCTGAGGCATTTTTGGCTTCCAAAAATAATGCCATTGTGTTCAGGATGGTCGAAAACCACTTTCTCGTGTTTTTCGTCGTCGGGGCAGAAATGCGCCCAATGGGCGTTCGGGGCACCAAAATGACTCCGCGACAGCAACTTCCAGGCTTGGCAGGAGCAAGCCGTGAGCCAATGGATGTTTCAAAAATTGATAGATAGTGGTTTTCCACCATCCTGAACCCGATGGCAATGTTTTTGAAATCTAAAAATGCCTCAAGAAAAGGTTGATTTTGGTAGAGTATTTTAAATTGCCAATTTAACAATGAAAATAAAAAATTCGCATGATTTTGATGTCGGCATCGGATTCCCCGTTGCATAATTGACCTAGAGTAAAATTTTCACAAAATTTCGAGCTAGGACCTTCGAGATACAGACGCTTTCCCGACTTGATAACTTTTTGACCGCTACTGTAGACTGTTTCTGACAAGCAAGGTTTTATTGTAGTATGTACCACCCGAAGACCCGATCTGTGATGATGGCTGGACTCTTTACAAGCATACGCAAAAATGCTATAAGGTTCTTTATTAATGAACGGCTTTTTGTACTTTCTCCAAGCTTTTTGGTTATTTTCTTGTTTTCACCGTATCTGAAAGTAAAAACCACTATCTAGCTCTCTCTTTCTCTCTCTCTCTCTCTCTCTCTCTCTCTCTCTTATTCTCCCTCCCTCTATTTTCCTCTCTCTTTCTTTCGTACTTTCTCGCAGTCACTCACTCACTCTCCTTCCCTCTCTCTCCTCTCTCTCCCGCTCATGGAAGTCTCCATGGTTACTCCGTCTTAACATTAAGATCGTGGGAACCGGACAAAACTGGACAGCAGCTATGGACACTTGCAAGAAATTTGACGCAATCACCGCGACCATCGAATCTTTCGATGAAATGGAGTTTCTGATCAGTAATTTTCTAATGCGAGTGTCATAGTCGCCTCTCTAGAAATGGCGCAACGCGGCGTAAGCCTCACCCGATTTTGGCTGGGAGGCCGTGCGGTGGGCGTTCGTTTCAAGCAGCAAGGTTTCATTTCAGATGGTAACTGGAGGAACGATCCCTTGGATTAATCTCGAACCGTTCCGGGTGGGATTTTGGGAAAGCCCGGCTCCGGACGAATACTTTGAATGCCTTGGGGTATGGTCGAATCGTAAAGAAGTCGAGTTAGTGAGTTTTCAGCTTTGTGCATCAGACGTTACGGTATGCAAGAACCGCGTGCATCGCTTTGGAGGCAGTGACTGCTTGGCTACAAACCACGCGACGATCTGCAAGAAGGTTGGGCTTGGCTTGGCTTACTTACAAAGCCACGTTTTTGAGTTTCCACGGAGGATACAAATGAGGCCATGCATGTTTTGAGCAGAATTTTTTGCTGATCAAAACGCAGTTTTCAGAATCTGCAAAGCGATTCTATTTAAAAACCCATGAAGCTTAAAGCCACAAATTCCCAAAACTGCCCATCTTCGCGGTTTATCGCCCTTGCAGGCTTGATGAATTTCTGATTATGGCTGTTTCGCAGATTCTCGAAACCAATTTTTAATTAGCAAAAATTCACCGTAATAGGCTTGGCCAATTTTAGACACGCTAGAAACCCCTAAAAAGGTCTCTTTGTTAGATGATTCGGCTGTCTTAACAACGAAATATTGAAAAAGTGAATCTGAGCCGAATCAGAAGCGCGCTAATTTCTGTTTCGATTCCGTTAGCATAAAATATTTTTTTGTTTTTTGCTTTTGCTTTACTCTTGCGGAGTTCGGGTCTACAAAAACTTCTGGTTCTGATAATCTACGAACGGCCCCGAATTTGCGCGCAGTGAAACGGGTTTTCAAGGCTGGTTGGTCTTTTAGACACAACGCGATGCTGTTAGCATCTGGGGCCGCCCAACCGTACGTGGCTCTGCCAGCGGATGGCGCTTTTGCAACGAGGATTGGATCGCAGCGTCGTCGACGGCGCGCTGCTACAAAGTGCCTAGAACAATCGGAATCTTTATTGTAATGCCTCAGATACTCGAGAAGCAGTCGTTTTTCGAGGCCGTGCAATCGTGCAGGGTGCTTAGGGGCTACCTGACGTCAGTGCTTAGCGACGAGGAAAGAGAATTGCTTAGCAGTAAGATAAGGCTCGCAAGAAAGTATGGGCATTTTTAGGTTACAATCCCGAGGCCGGCCTGACTCCCATGTGGACCGGCGGACTTTGGGTATGCATTATGTAAACTCATTTTTAAAATTAGCACTGTATAAGCATTCACAACCAGGATTGTATATGAACTGCAGAATCGGAGTTGTTAAATGGGCTTAGGCATAAAGAATTGGGCTTGCTGTATAATGTTTTTACTTAGGTTAGCCTTTTGGAATAGGCCAAGGCTATCTTGCGCAGCATTTGACGCTGTGTTTCTGCTTTCCGAAATTTACTGGATCGAGAAAAAGACCAACCGACAACAAAATTATCTTACATAGGCAGAAGAAACTTCTTCACGATTTTTTACAGTTTGCGAGTAACGACTACACTCCTACGCGCTTCCGATGGCTGGACTGGTTCAATTGGGACTACGGCTCGTGGACCGCACCTTCTGCAGAAGGCCAATTTTGCGTAGCGATTGCGGTATGCATTTTGAGCAACACCCCTTAGGTTCAGCTGCATTCGAAAGTGCCAATGCAGCCTGTTGCAGGCAAGTGGCGAGTCTTTAATTGATGCGACATGCGAGGAGCTATATTTGCCGATTTGCAAACGCGAAATGAGCGCTGATGATAGCGAAAAAGGAAACACACCGGTAGTAGTGGCCACGACGTGTGACGAGGGTTGGACCGCGTCGAATTTCACGCAACAATGCTATCGGGTACTTTATTGTTTTTAGAGCGCGTTGCCTCGCTGCCAAAAAAGCTCTAACGCCGATAGTTTTAGGCAACACCGGAGGCGGGCACGTATTTTTACGGTGACCACACCTGCAAGGAATGGGGAGCAGAGGTCACAACCGTCATGAGCCTCGAAGAAAATGAGATCATTAGTCGTAAGCCTAATGATCGTACACGGGCGTACACGAGCCCAATTTTTGGGGAGGGGTGCAACTTGAAAAATTTTTGTCGACCTCCTCGACCTCCCCCCACGGTCGCCACCTTCCGAAAAACACGGGCGGTGAATCTTACAAAGCCCCTTGCTGATGAAAAGCTATCGCGCGCCCCTGCGCCCTAACTACAGTACCCCACCCCACCGAGCCCCCATTACGCCAGCCTATTGCTTTCCTTTCCAAAAACCAAAAGTGAGGAGAAAGAAACAGAAATCAAAGTAAAAAATTGTTATGCTTGAAATAAGGTTATAATTCCGCACTCTACAAAGCCTAAAGAGCTCCTACAACACCAATCACGCTTTCAACATTCTCACGCGCGAAGCAGGATGGAATGGAGCTTCGTCCGTTGTTCGATTTTGCTTCCGGAAGTTGAGGCACGATAGATATTAGCGGTTAACGTTTTTGCTACCTAAAGAAGAAGCCGAAGATGTGGAGAAAAAAGCCGCGTTGCTTGCGGCTTTGCCAAATCCTTATAAACTTACTCTACCTTATTTTTCTTACTTTCATGGCATCATCGTAGAACTAGGAATCGATTTTAGTTGCGCAATAATTAGTTCGGATTCTGAAATATACGAAGTCAATGCTAACAAGAAGAGTAGGATGAGGGTTTCAGGTCCTTGGGCATCGCTGACCTCTTCCAATACACTCAGCGTTGAAAAGTGCAGTTAGAATCATCACATGGACGGCGCCGCTCTGATTATTTTTATGAGACAAAAACATTCACCCCCCTTACAACCGGTATCCCATTTCAGAATGGGTAATGAAACCAATCTAATCGCTGACCGCACCCGATTTGGGCGCATTTATTATGAGAACTTTTATTGCCCTCGCCCAAAGAGTTTTTTTTTTGGGGTCGGAAACGACCTAGAAATGCTCAAATGTAGCATTTGGTCAAAAAAATGCGCCGGAAAGAAGTTATTCAGGGCTAATACCACCTCTCTTACTATAAAAGGACCATAAAAGTTAATCAAGGGGCCTCCATCTTACTCGGTTACTGAAATGGAAAGGATAGCTATTGGCCATTTCATCGTAATCTTATTTTTTTTACTTTGATTTCTGCTTCTTTCTCCTCACTTTTGGTTTTTGGAAAGGAAAGCAATAGGCTGGCGTAATGGGGGCTCGGTGGGGTGGGGTACTGTAGTTAGGGCGCAGGGGCGCGCGATAGCTTTTCATCAGCAAAGGGCCTTTGTAAGATTCACCGCCCGTCCGAAAAACATTCAAAAATCGCTGTTTTAACAGCGCCGCTGGTAAAAAAACTTAGAAAAAGCGTTCGTTCCGGTCAAATTCATGTGAAAACAACATAGAAAAAAAGCGCCGCAGGCGAAAATTTTTTATGGACAGTTGACTGCAGTTGACTGCGAGTTGACGAAAAATTTTGGAAAAATAGGTTACTGAGAAGTAAAAACCGTCTTAAAAACAGTAATAAACAGCGCCACAGGCAGAAAAACTTTAATAAAAAACTCATAAGGGTGTTAGCTAGTCTTCTAGCACAGATTTTACATGTGCAGGGAGTCCAAAGTGAGGAGAGGGCTAGCGGATCCCTCGCTAGCCGCGAGATAAGACACAAGATAAATGAGTGTCAGGTCGCGCACGCATAGAAATCCCTTGCTAAACAGCGGGTGCTAACACAGCGGGAGCTAACATAATCAGAACAGGAGTTCATAATATCGATCGGGGGATATCTGACAATTCTGACAATTTAAGGGGATAAAATTTTTGAAGACCAGAAAGAGCTAATCCCAATAATAAGCGCATTTTTGTTTCAGAAGTAATCACCGCCCACCCAAACGTCTCAGCCGTGGCTTACCTGGGAGCCAAGCGGGTATGACATCGGAGTGAGTATGACATAGGCTTCGTAGGGAGTTTCCGGTGAATACATCTGGGCAGACGCGACCGACCTGAACCTCGCCTACTGGACGTCGTATAATAAGCCAGCAGGGAATGCCGACTACTTCAACTGTCTTGGGGTAGGTTTTACCCAGATATCGAAGCCGATGAAGAGAATAACCATTTCAGGGTTTCACTCTGGTTTTCAGATCAACGCCGAAAGTATACTCTGGGCCCCGGCGGTTGGCACCGTTGGGTGAGCATTACGTGTACAGATCCGTACATGACGGTGTGCAGAAAGGTAGAATGTTGATACTGAGTCTGATTTTTTGCAGGCGCCCATCGTTGCCGCCACGTGATGCTTGGCCCCTTATCGAAAAATCAACGTTGGACAACTTGCGAGTTTGTAAACCTATTTTTCAAGTGAAAGATTTATTTTGAAATAAATTATCCATAAACCGTTGAATTCCCTGCCATTGCAGTGAATTCGCTCACATGCCTCTCTAAAAATCCACGTTTGAATCTCGTTAGATCGTTAGAAAGTAAGAAATTCCCGCACAGTCTAGCGTACACTACTTACCTTCTTGCAAATGGTGGCAAAGTCGTTGTGGTCGCATTTGGCTCCAGCGGTACGGCGGGACCAGTTGTCGCGCGTTTCGGGTACACCTAATCGTAAGAAAGATTTCGTGTTAGGCATTGCGCCTATTTCGTATTATTGATCTTAGTGTTCCTGTCAAGTATTACTATGTCATCGAAACACGTGGTTAGCAGATCAAAAATACCTACCCTGAAGCAATACGGGTACCAGTCTCCACATCCGGTTCCTGAGGTCGCGTAGTCGAACGGCTCGCAGTTGCCCCAGCTCCACTTTGCGATGAGTCGGACTAAAAAAATTTTAGATATCGGTTACGTTCCAATACCTTTCTCGTTCCTAGCCATGTGCTCATGGAACGAGCACTGGCACGGCTACAAAGGATGGAAATATTTACGTGTATTTTCCTTTTTTAATGACAGCGCTCTTTTGAATTCTTAAGAGTCGAGGCTGCCGAATCATAAGCGGCCACCTTCCGGCGGAAGCGATAAAATAGGTGTTGTTTATAAAGCTCGATTTTCCCGTCGGCCGCGTCAAAGATGCTGGGCCGGGCGTTGATTATTTTCGCTTTAGCAGGTATGGCAAAAGGTTTTATTTGTAATGGTACCGGAATAGGGCTTTCGGCCGCGGTATGCCCGAGGAGATCGATACCAGAAGGGCGGTACTGCCGATTTTCGCTCGGAGTGAAGCTGCCGATCATTGAGGCGATGACAGCTTGTGAAAAGTTAGTTTGGAAAGATGGTATTATCGGATCGCGCCGTCATTAAAGCTTTTAAAACTCGTTTTCAGTCTGGACGCCAAATACGCCGTGCCGGCTAACGATACCAACACTATTATTCGAGCCGTAGGTTAAATGTATACTACTAGTTTTTTCAGCTTGGATTCCGTATCTAAACGTGCGGCAACAAAAATTTCCAACGCTTTCATTGCTGCCGAGCCCATTTTAAATAATAATAAATAAATAATATATTTATTTATATTCGATTTTAAATAATAATAATAAAATTCGTTTAGGACCAAGCGCCAGCCCATCTACTCAAAATGAACGATCCGGTGTATCGGAAATTAACGTTAACGGCCAATGGCATGGTTAGTATCGCGATTAAATGCGTAATTCCTTTCCAGAATACAAAAAGGTCGTCGTGCAACATCGTGACTTTTGGGTTCGAACGATCCCGGGGCTGGTTGAAGTCGTCTGTCGCGGAATTGCAGAGAAAGTAGGTTTCCATGCTTTAAACCACGACACATCACCAAATTTAGCATCAAATTTGCGCCAGCTGGGGCGAGATCACCGATATGGAGGTGGGTGACTGGTTTAAAGGGATGGGCAAGAATTGTTGGGCTGGAATTTACTTTACCCCCCGAAACGTGCGTCCCATCGACATTTCCGGTATTTTGTAGAGATTTTGGCCACACTATTCGGTAGGGCTGAAAAAATCTACTAAGCGTTTTAATTGCAGCTCAAACTAATGTAAAATAAAAAGTCACAGCTAAAAATATTTAGGAACTTCAGGGGGGGGGGGGGAGTAAAGTCAGTTTTACCTACCAAACCTTGATTGGGTTTTTGGGCGTGCATTTGCTAAAAACAAGCTCGCACCGCGACAAGCAACGAACCAGCTATTTGGTCGCGAATTGGATATCGTGATCGATTGCGCATTGACAGGGTGATGGGCAGCACTAGTAACGCGATACCTGAACGTATATTAAAAAACACAATAATTAACCGGGTGAAAAATACCAGGCAATTTTACAACTCTAGGAAACCGATCGACGCCGACTTCGCAGTGATGGACAATGTCCGCCATGTCCTAGAGGGGATAACAAGGATAAAGTCGCTCCAATTGCAGGATTGGCCAAATTCTGTTTTAGCCGAAGGTAGAAGACAAGGATATCCCTGCCGATGAATGCGGGGATGGATGGGAAAAAAGTGTTTGCAACCAAAACTTGCCACAAAGTAAGCGCGCCCTGTTTTTCAAATTTGCATTTAAACATTTTACTGACAATTCTTTAGTTGCTCGACGGCCAAGCTTTTTGGAAAGCCGAAAAAGAGTGCGTGGGTTTGGGAGGCCATCTGGCGCCAATTAGAAGCGCGGATGATCAGCTCATCATGATAGGTTAGCTTTTAAGAGGGGTTGATCGTTTGAAATGCTTAAGGGAAGCAGAAGAAGTGGAGCCCTAGACACGCGATCTGGATCGGCGGCGTTCAGGTCGGTTCGTCTCTTGCAGGCCCGTAACAGTGTGGGTAGGGGCACACGGGGGAATCGGCCGTGGGCCGCAAAGTTCATAAGGGGGGACCCTTCTGATTTTTTAAAAATTTTTTCCATGCGGCGCTTTATTAAGCTATTTTTAACACTACTTTTAGTGTCATAAACCCCATATGTTCAAAAAATTTTCCCTGCGGCGCTGCAGTTTTGGCCACATTAGGGAAACATTCTTGGCGCCGGCCCGCCCCGAAATTTCGGGTTTGTTACGGCCCTGGTCTCTTGTCTAGCTCCCTACTTTCGAAGATCGATGTGGTCTGCTTGCTACGTTTTTGGGATCGCCGTGAAAAAATTCGGAGCTTTACAGATGAACCTCAACGGCGCAACGGCTTTCATTGGCTGGATCCGGCGGCTGGAAATATTACCTACAGCCACTACGGCCTAAACGAGCCAGCGGGTGCTAGATTTTGTCTGTTTTTTGGAGTAAGTTGGTAGAGCTGTGTTTGGTCAGGGTCTAAGGCCTCCTAGCTCTGATGAACTCCCGAAAGAACCAACAATACAAACGGTTCAGACACACGGATTCTGGGGTAGCGAGGCGTGTAGTGATGTACAACAGGCCTTTTGCCAGCGGCCGTTGGGACCGGTATTCGGTTAAAGCTTAGCATATATATTGCGGAACTTTAGCCCAAGGTTCTCGCCGATCCAAAGTGCGAGGACGGATGGATTCCTTGCAAGCAATCGCAACGTTGTTATAAGGTAGCTTTTGGATAATCACAGTTCTACAAAGAGTGTCCCAAACATGTATTCATGTATTGCCGCTACGCTAGCTTGAAAGCCGAAGCTCCGTTCGGGGATCCGCGGGCTGCGGCCTTTTCAGGCTTTCACTGCTTTTACTATGGAGATTTAATTCATCTTTTACTGTCTGTTGCGGAAGCAAGAGAAGAAAGTCTTTTGATTCAATTACGCGATGCCTGTACGGCGCACCCCTTTGCACTACGCCCTGTGTGCGCCCTCCCCGTCCCCCGGGACAACCCCTTTTTTGTGCGTGTCTTTTTCATTCTCTTCCACTTCGCCCGTCTTGTCTGGCTGCTTGTATTATTTTAGGCTATTGCCGTTATCGTAAATAAACTTTGTCCTCTCTTCTTTCGTCATATCAATTCAGGTGTCACACGGCTCTCACGCAAGGTATCCCCTTGGTTCGAGCCAGCACTCAAGAACTCACGCACAACCACACACCTACAACAATTGGCGATCAAGGATTCGAGCCCGAATTGAAGAATGGCCGACGACCCCGAGCTCAAGGACGTGCTCAAGCAGCTCGCCGCCGCGAACCAGCAGATGACCGCTGTCATGGTCGCTGGACAAGAGCGAGAAGCCAAGCTCATGGCTGAGCTCGAGCGGATCCGCGCCGAGGTCCAAACGCACACGGACTCGGTTAGCGAAGATTCAAGCCAAAGCCAAAGGCCTCTGAATGCAGTCGAGTTGGGCGCTCTAGCCACTCGCATAAGTCGATTCGAGTATGACCCGTCCCAGGGGATTACGTTCGAAAAATGGCATGAGCGGTTCACAAACCTCATCGCCACCGAATCGCGCATCTCGGAGGAGAACAAAAAGCATCTTGTTCTCGGGATGCTGGATGCCAAATCCTATGGCTTGCTAGCGGATCATGCTCGACCCAAAGAGCTGGCCTCCATCGCATACGACGACATCGTCAGTATTTGACTGAGATGTTTGGAGAAAAGCTGTCGCTTTTCAGTCGACGTTTCCTCGCCTTTCGCGTTGCGAAGGAGCACGATGAGGATATGCGATCCTACGCCGCTCGCGTTAACAAATTATACGAGCAAGGTCGCGTCAAGGAAATGAAGGAAGATGAAGAAAAGTGTTTACTTTTCGTTGCTGGACTGTCAGACCAGGCACACCGCGACATCCGCAAGAAATTGATCCGCATTCTTGAGTCAAAGAATGACGTGAAACTGGATGATCTGCTGCGCGAGTGTGACTTGCAGACGAGCCTGAACATGGATGTTGTGGTCGAACAGCATGCCAATGTGAATCGTATCCAGCAGTCGGGATACCGAAAGACTTGGAACAAGGGCCCAAGCCTACCTCTAGCAATGGTGGCCCGAAGCCTTGTGATACCAATGATCGGCCCCGTGGAGACAAGCGAAATGATGTGTGTCATCATTGTGGAAAGCGAGGACACTGGGCAAATGAGTGTCGCTCAGATTCTGAAACCGTGGAGGTAATTTTTCCAAGCAAGGAAAACAAAACCCCCGAAACAAGGACTGGAAACCGAAGGTGAACCAGGTCGTGCAAATCAATGCTATTGATTCGACGCGCAAGGACGTCGAGATTTCAATCGGAAACATCCATTTTACGCTACAATTGGATACTGGCGCTGCAGTAACTATTATTGACGAGGCTGTGTGGCATCAATTGAATTGCCCACCACTTACGCCGTCGGATATTCAACTACGAGCTGCCAACGGTAGTCGAATTGACGTGAAAGGATTGTTTGAAACCCGCTTTCAAGTGAAAGGCATTGAGGGACATGGCCGTTGTTTTGTCACCAAAGACATTCGGTTGATGGGGCTGGATTGGATCAATCAGCTGCCACAATTCGCATCCTGTTTCGATGAATTGTGTGTCAATAAGGTTCAAGTGAAGCAATCAAAGCTGGAAAAGGAACTTGTTGAAAAATACCCAAGTGTATTTTCGGATGGCCTAGGCTTATGCACTGTTGCTAAGGCTGAGTTGCAGCTCAAAGCCGATGCGCAGCCAATATTTCTGCCATTCCGACGTGTCGCATTCTCGATGGAATCAGCCATTGAAAAGGAAATTGAACGTCTCGTTGATTTGACTGTTTTGAAACCAGTCACCTACAGCGAATGGGCGGCTCCGGTCGTTCCAGTCAAGAAGAAGGACGGTTCATTGCGACTTTGCGGTGATTTTTCTACCGGCTTGAATGATGCGTTGCAAGATTACCATCATCCTCTTCCCACCGCGGAAGAAATTTTCACCAAGCTCAACGGTGGACAAGTTTTCTCCCAGATTGACTTGAAGGATGCTTATTTACAAGTCGAGGTTGAGGCTTCTAGCCAAGAATACCTGACAATCAACACACACAAGGGACTTTATCAGTATCAACGATTGATATTTGGTGTGAAAACAGCCCCCGGTATTTTCCAGAAAATTGTGGATAATTTGATCGCAGGCTTGGACGGTACCGCTGCCTACCTGGATGATCTGTTGATCACCGGCCGGAACCAGGAGGAGCATGACGACAGGGTACGTCAGTTGTTTGAGCGAATCGAAACGTTCGGATTGCGCGTCAAAATGGAAAAGTGCACGTTCGGCCAGGCTTCGGTAAAGTATCTTGGCTTCATTCTCGATGCCCAAGGCCGAAGACCCGATGGCGAACGCACGGCTGCGATAGCAAATATGCCACGACCTACCTGCCTCAAAGAAGTGGAAAGCTTTTTGGGCATGGTTTCGTTCTACCAGTCTTTTATTCCCTCGTATGCGACAGTTGCGCGCCCCGCTTGACGAGTTGAAGAGAAAAGACGCAAAGTTTCTCTGGCGTGAGGACTGTGAAAGAGCGTTCCAGTCGCTCAAGGAAATTGTAATTTCCGATTTGTTACTCTGTCATTATGACGCCAAGTTGCCGATCGTCGTCGCCGCTGATGCCAGTGAGCAAGGCCTTGGGGCAGTCATTACCCACCGATTCGCTGATGGAACTGAAAAAGCAATCGCACATGCTAGCAGAGCATTGACTGTGGCAGAGAAGAACTATAGCCAGATTGAAAAGAAGGCTTAGCCCTCGTATTCGCAATTCGGCGCTTCCACGGATACATCTACGGAAGGCGTTTTGTATTACTGACGGATCATAAGCCTCTTTTTACCGATATACGGGTCGAAAAAGGAATCCCACAACACACCGCAAACCGTTTGCAAAGGTGGTGTTTGCAATTGAACAACTTACGATTTTTCTATTGAATATCGTAACACGACCAAGTTTGGTCAAGCGGATGCCCTTTCCCGTCTGATTCCGCCAAAATCGGATCCTGAAGAAGATGTCGTGATTTCGCAGATAGAAATCGACATTTCAGCCGTTTTTGAGGATAAATTGAGCCAAATCCCAGTTTCACACAAGGAAATTGCTGAGCAAACTGAACAGGATTTTTCACTCAGCAGTGTGATTGACTCTCTGAAAAGTGGTTCTTTTCCAGACTGTTTGCCAGGCTCGTCGTTGTACGCCTACAAAAGTCTTGTAAATAACTTGTCAATTCACCGAGGCTGTTTGTTTCTGCAGGGGCGAGTTGTTGTGCCGAAAAGGCTACAATCGCGAATCCTGAAAATGCTTCATGAAGGTCACCCGGGCCAAACGAGAATGAAATTGCTCGCAAAGCAATATGTGTACTGGATTGGCATGGATTCAGACATCGATCGCATCGTGAAAGAATGCGAAGGCTGTCACAAAGCCCAGAAGATGCCTGTAAAAAGTGAATTGACTCCCTGGCCTACCCCAAATCGTCCAATGGAGCGCGTGCATATTGATTATGCCGGTCCGATTGATCAAAAAATGTATTTGATCGTTGTCGACGCTTACTCAAGATGGCCTGAAATCTTTGAGTGTAAGGTGGCAACAAGCCGAGTGACGATTACCCAGTTGAGAGATGTTTTCTCCAGGTTCGGAGATCCGGAAACGCTCGTTTCGGATAACGGAACTCAATTCACTTCGAAGGAGTTTGAAGATTTCTGTAAGGAACGTGGAATTACCCATATTCGCACGCCACCGTTCCATCCCCAGTCGAACGGATTGGCCGAACGTTTCGTCGATACCTTCAAGCGCGCTTTGAGCAAAGCCGCTGGTTCGACTAACGCTGAAACTTTGCAAATATTTCTGCGAACTTATCGGTCCACCCCTTGCCCATCTTCACCAGAACAGTTATCTCCGGCTGAAAGGTTTATCGGGAGAAAGCTCGTTACTCCCATTGCTCGCTTGCGTCTGCCTCAGAGCAACAGCAATTCTTGTGCGAATCTCATCTTTCCGAAGGGGGAGAAGATGAAGATGGTTGAACAGTACAACCGGAAGCACGGCGCAAAGAAGCGTTCCTACGAAATCGACCAGACCGTCTGGGTTCGAGATTATAAAATACCTAGCAAACCTGTCTGGGTAGAAGGACGTATTTCTAAATTGTGTGGAAAGTCCATGTACGAGGTTGAAACTACCTCTGGAGTCGTTTGGCGTCGACATGCCAACCAGCTTCGTGCTCGATTCGTTCGAGACGTACTCGATGATATCCTGGAAGAGTTCGATCTTGCCAGCGATGATAAAGTCAATGTGCAGGACATTGCTCCACCTCTTGACAAGCCTCTCGAGAAGCCAGCTGCATCATCCGCCACCACTCCTACATTGATTCCCATTGTACCTGTTCCGAATGTTCCCCATCCCACCGCTCACCGGCCGACAACACCAATCAAGTCGCCAACGAAGTCGCATCCACGATCACCGGCAAGATCACCAGCCGTGCCGCGACGACCTCAAGTTGAACTGCCCGAAATCGTCGCTCAACAACCGCAATTTGAACAACACGATGACGTTGTTCAACAACCACAAGGACGCGACGACGAACCTGAAGTTCGTCAACAAGATCAAGCACAACCTGTGAAGAAGACAAAGAAGACTGATGCCCTTGGACCGATCCTTCACCACAAGCGCATCCGGAAGCCGCCGTCGCGATATCAAGACTGAAGTGCCGTCAACGTCGTCTCCATCAAGCTCAACTTCATCACGAGTCAAGCTCTTCATTCAAGGAGGAAGATGTTGCGGAAGCAAGAGAAGAAAGTCTTTTGATTCAATTACGCGATGCCTGTACGGCGCACCCCTTTGCACTACGCCCTGTGTGCGCCCTCCCCGTCCCCCGGGACAACCCCTTTTTTGTGCGTGTCTTTTTCATTCTCTTCCACTTCGCCCGTCTTGTCTGGCTGCTTGTATTATTTTAGGCTATTGCCGTTATCGTAAATAAACTTTGTCCTCTCTTCTTTCGTCATATCAATTCAGGTGTCACACGGCTCTCACGCAAGGTATCCCCTTGGTTCGAGCCAGCACTCAAGAACTCACGCACAACCACACACCTACAACACTGTCATAGACATTTCTCTTTTTACGTTCTTCAGGCCGACGCGGTAGCGATGGACTATGTTACAGCGCGGGAGCACTGCCTGCAACAGGGCGCTGATTTGGCGACGATCCATTCCTTTTGGGAAAATGAGGCGGTGATCGGTGGGTTTTTAAATCACAAGTTTGGAGACCGACCTGGCATGACCAGATAATTTTATTTGCACTCACAAATGTCCCGCTCATTTTCGAAATATCTATTTCAGAAGCGGCGGCAGCGGTCAATTCTGACAAAGCCTGGCTGGGAAAGCGCAGGGTAAAGCCTTCAAGAAGCCAAAGTATCGCTGACCTAGAACGGCGATCAATGGCAGTGGGTTAATAATGAGCCCCATGACTTTTCCATCTGGCATGCGGGCGACGTGAACACCTACATCGGCGACTGTGCAATTGTAGGAAATTTCTCGATATTTGAAATTAAGTTCCGACATACTTTTGACCCTAATCATCAAGGTGTTTGGTGCCGTGGAAGCCACCGCCTTGGCCTGGTTGCATCGTTGGGACAACGTCCAGTGTGAGCAGAAATATACTCCTGTCTGCAAGAAGGTAACTTGGCCTTATCTTTGTTTATACTTTTGCTTAGGCACCCCTTCAATAAACGTCATACTTATCGCTCTTTTGATCGAATAAATTGTTTTGTCTCAGGCTGGTCATGAAACAACGTTGGGTTGCATCTCTATTTTCACGTCAAAGTAACCAAAAATAGCGTTGTATGCTTGAGGTCATGGAAAACGTATCACGGAGTACCATGGTCGGCCCTGTAATTTTGCTACGGCTCGCAACGAGATTCGACGCTCCCAAATTTCCATATTCAATTTTGCAAAACTTGCAGACCCGCGTTACAGGTTGCGGGACCTTGCACCTACAAATACTAAACGCGCAACTAAGGTAAACAAGTGGGAAACCGATAAAGGAGCTAAGTTGTCCACCTTACTGGAAAAATACAGCCTCGGACACCTTTAAAATCCAATACCATTTTTTTGAACCGTCTATTTCGGGGAGCCGGGTCGTTGTTATGCTTTCCTCCCGCAGGCTTTTTACAATGCTCCCGAATTTTATAGCGCCGTTATGTTTCTTTGAATTTAAACGATCCTGTTTCCGGTGGAATTCTTCAAAAGCATCTGCTTATAGGGTGCGCTTTCCCAACGACCGTTTCAGACATGTTTGGCCGGATGATGGTCCTTTTCGCCTTAGCAGGTACCGTAAAAGCTTTTAATTATCCGTATTCCGATAGGGCTCTCGGCCGCGGTATGCCCGAGGAGATCGATACCAGAAGGGCGGTACTGCCGATTTTCGCTCGGCGTGAAGTTGCCGATCATTGAGGCAATGAAAGCTGTGAAAAGTTTGATTTGGAGTGAGTAGTGAGACATTATTGGCTTTAGTTTGGACGCAAAATACGCGGTACCTGCTAATGATACCAGCATCATTATTCGAGCGGTAGGTGAAATTGATACTACCAGTTTTTGCGCACGGATTCGGTACAAACCTAACGTCGCAGGGAAAACTTGCCGCAACGATCAGATTTTGAGGAATCCACTTTCTCACAAAGTCAAAACTATTTTAGGACCAGGCCCCGTCGCATCTACTCAAAAATGAACGATTCGGAATATCGAAAATTAACGTTGACGGTCAATGGCACGGTTTGTAGGGTTATTTGGTCCTGCATTGCTCTCTAGAATATAAAAGGTTGTGCTGCAACGTCGCGAATTTTGGGTCAGAACCATTCCGGGGCCCGTCGAAGTGGTCTGCCTTGGAATTACAGAAAAGTAAGTTTTCATGCTTCAAACTGTGACATTTTAACTTTAGCATCAAATCTGCACGAGCTGGGGTGAGATCACCGATATGGATGTGGGTAAAGGGATTAAACAAATGATTTGGCTGCTGGCGCACCTAACGCGTCCGTGAATTCATACAAAGTCTAGTAAAAGCTTATTTCTGCAACCTTAGGAAACCAATCAACGTCGTCTTCGGAGCGATGGGAAATGTCCGCCATGTCCCGCAGGCAATGCACAAGCAAAGGTTGCGGTTCTTCTCCAATACTACTATCTTTTTAGCCCAAAGTAGAAGACAGGGATATCCCGGCCACGGAATGTGGCGATAGTTGGGAAAAGGTCTTTGCAACCAACAGTTGCCACAAGGTAAGCAATGAATGTTTTTAAAGTATCCTAAAACCACGTGTATATTTCCCGGCACAATTTGGTTACCTAACAATGCAACTGACACCAAATAATGTGTGCGTATTGAACAACCAGCGCCGCAAAATCTATGTAAGACCAAAGAGATGATTCTCCGGATTCTTGCAATCAATTTTGCATTAAGCCACTTAAATTGTTGGCAACAGTCGAAATGCGATCAATAATTTGGAACGTAATCGCGAAAATCCTACTTGCGAGCCGAGATATTTGTAAAAACGCAAAAAACGAACACACCCAGTTGACGGTCATACGGAATTACCAGCGGTTGGTCCAGCATAAACGAGGGAATTATAGCCGCCAGGTCTTAGGATATATATCTTAATGCGAAATTTGGCTAAGCTTTTGGTTCAACACTTTATAGTTGCTCGACGGCCAAGCTTTCTGGAAAGCGGAAAAGGAGTGCGTTAATTTGGGAGGGCATCTGACTTCGATAAGCAGCCCGGATGAGCAGTTGGTGATGCTAGGTATAAGCTCCGTGCCGATCTTGTCGGCGAAAACCTTTTACATGATAATATTCATAATTTAAGGCAAACAGAAGAGGTGGAGCCCTGGAAATGCGATCTGGATTGGCGGCTATAATGTGGTTTCATTGCGTTCATTTTTGTTTTTTCATTGGATGTCATTTCACACATTTATTAAATGCAAAATTAACGGCCGCGTGGATTTCTGGTGGTTGGATTCGCCGGGGCAAAATATGACCTACACGAACTACGGTCCCGCGGAGCCTGCGGCCGATTTGTTTTGCCTGCTTTCGGGGCTGTTTTTAGTACTATGGAAAGTCGTTGCAAGCCAGATGATTAGCCAGGTGGTAACTGGAGTTCAGCTTTGTGCAGCGAAGTGCGTGCACCAGGCTTTTTGCCAGCGTCCGTTGGGCCCGGTATAAAATTAAAGGCCGTTAACTGCCAAAAAACTTTAGCCTGCTGGTTCTCGACGATCCAAAGTGCGAAGACGGATGGATTCGTTGTAAAGAAACACAGCGTTGCTACAAGGTTATTAGTTGCGAAGGAGCGAATGGAGATGTTGTGGAGAGAACATCATGGGAAAGTCTAATAAGTGGTTTGTATTGCACACGAATTTTTGCAAAGTTTGCACCATCTCCCTTCGTATCTATACCACTCCATTGATTCAATTCTTTTTGCAGCAGCTATCGAAGACCTAAAACGGCGATTTGCCGGAGGGACGAAGGGACAAAGGGAGCCGGGGTATCCCGCGGCAAATAGTTTAAGCTCTTGCAATCCTTCCCAACCAGCTTAATAGTCAAAACTCAATAGCCGTTATACAGAGGTTTACGGTTAAATGATGTACCAAAGATAAAAGAAAAAACCTCACAAGGAGATGGTCCTTAGCTGGGAATCGAATTCCGATTTTGAAAATTTTGCACACTTATAGAGCTCTCGTGGACGAGACAAATCGATTGGTGTAACTTTCAGCTGCTGGACAATAAAATAACCACGCCGAGTTATGCGCATTTTCAGTTTACATACATTTTGCATTTTCGGCCATAGCTTCATAGGCCTTCCCCCGCCTCCCATCACCATGGTCTAGTGGCTTAGTGGTGTAGTAGGCGGCCTCTCCTGGGAATCTAACGGAGGGTCGAAATTGCTCACGAGACTTTTATTTTTGCTTTTCAGTCTCGAAGGTTCCTCTCGCTTTCTGAAGACCTTGAATAGCTTTTTACGCATTATTTTAACTCCTCCAAGCGACATATTTTAAAACATCTTTTGAAAACGTAGATTTTTACCCGAAAGGACTATGCGGGTCCCAAAATAAATTGAAAATTCAAAGCATACTCAAAAATCGTTGAGTAACACGTAATTTTGGTAAATGGTGTGTTATCCAAACAAAAACTTTCATAAATTTTTGGAAATGGGAGTCATAGGTCGGACAAGGGCTCGATGCCCAGCAGGAAAAATTGGTGAAGGTCTGATGTTGTCGGCGCATCAAAGGAGTTAAAATAATATGTAAAAGCTATTATAAGTTCTTCGGAAAGCAAAGAGGGAACCTTGACGAAAAGCAAAAAATAAAAGTCGTGAGCGGGTTCAACCCCGTTAGATCTCCCGGAGGCCGCCTACTACACCACTAGGCCACCAGACCATGGTGATGGGGAGGCGGGCGGCCCTTTGCAGCCATGGCCGAAAAACGCAAAATGTATGTAAAACTTAAAATGCTTATAACTCGGCGTGGTTATTGCATCAGCAGCTGAAAGTTACACCAATCGATTTGCCCTGTCACCGAGCTCTATAGGTGCAAATTTTCAAATCCGGAATTCGATTCCCAGCTGGAGACCATCTCCTTGTCAGTAGGTGTCACTTTGTACTTCAACAAAAGCCGCCTTGCTTTTGATCCTTTTTGCATGCAGTTTTGTTAGGGCTAGGTATCATTAGAATTACTCACTTATCTCTACAAAGCTCGAAATGGATTTTTAAAGGATAGCTTTCGTTACAAAATTATAAAATTATAAGTTCTGGCCCATAACATTTTGCGTCTATAGGAATGCCGTTGCCTACGAGCTGCCCCTAATTCTGGGGCGGCCCCTGGAAAGCTTAGCTGATCACAGAGAATTATAAAAGATCGGGTTAACTCGACAAGGGAACTGATTGGTGAGTCGACCGAGCAACAATGGATTTTGTCTCGGCGCGTGAGAGTTGCCCTGCAACAAGACGCCGACCTGACGACAGTCCATTCTTATTGGGAAAATGAGGTGGATTATCGGTGGGTTTAGGACATCGAGGAAAAGCAGGCGGTGTTTGTCAGAAGCTGCAGCCGCTGCGGGTGCGGATAAAGCATGGAGGGGGAGCAGGAAGGTAACAAACTATACCGGAAGAAAATTTTCTGCGAAAGGAAAATCACAAAGGGGGCTGGGTCAACGGCGAGCCCTATGACTTTGAAGTGAACCATGGACTTGACCCAGTACGATTCATCGGAGCATGTCTAATTGTGAGTCGCTGCTGGACGTTTTTTCGAAAATCAAATACAGGGTGTCCCAAAATGACCCCTTTCGCATTTCGCCGTATTACATCCGATCGGTTCCAAAAGTGATATAAACTGTATCAGACCCCAAATAACCACACGCTGCCTTACAGCCTGAGGCTATAGCGGTTCTCGAGTTATACCAAAAATAAAGCTTGCTTCACCGTTTTCGGGGGCCCTGGTGAGAATAGACCTGGAAAATAGTAAGTGGAAATGATGCGGCAAACCTTCTTTACCTCTAGAAATTTTCGCCTGAGAAGAATTATACAAATATTCGATTCCATCAGCATTTTGTTAACGCAAAATGACCCCGATCTTAGGCGGAGTTAGGGATTCACAGCCGGATGTCGCCACAAGTTTATGCAAAATTCAAAAATACAGCCGAAAAAACGTGTACGAATTCCCGAGAAAACAGTATTTGGGTTGCAACCGGAGAACCACCAGAATGTCAAGATCGAAATAAAGGAATCCCAGTATTGCGTGGTTATTTGTGGCGTGGTGGCCACTTCTGGTACCATTTTGGATCCTGATCGGATGTGGCAAAACGGCGGAATGCCGATGGCGTTTTGACAATCAGCCAACTGCGCATCGATGTGTTTCAGGTTTTCGGCGCTGTTGACGTCAACTCCACCGCCTGGCTGCATCGCAAACGACGACGTGGACTGGGGGAGAACTATACCCTGTCTGCAAAAAGGCCTGTCCCATATCTGAGCAGCGCACTTTGTCTAGGGCACCAATCAGCTGAAGGGGCTAACCAAGAGCATTCATGAATTCAAATAAAGTATTTTCCTTAATGAACGCTTTATAGTTACTTGACATTTGGACACAAAGGAAAGAAATAGAGGAAATGCGGTATCTGTTGCCACCAAAACTGTCTCAAAACGTTATGAATATTTCTTTAGCCTCAGGATCCGATCGTCTATAGCTTTGACGCGCCTAGAAAAGCTTTCTTTTCCTGTCGGATGCCCATCCTGGCGGCGAAAATATTCGATACAAATTCTGCAAAATATTCGCATATGTATGACAGACCGCGCACCTCTGTAGCTTCTGAGAGCTTATTTCACTCGGCAATGATTGTCTCGATCTTGGCCACAACGGTCTTATTATAGGCTCAAGATAACAGATTTTGGTTTTCTACTTTAACTTTCAGTTTTTAGTAGGGTTAGAAAGTTGTCAAAAGCCGTCAATAGCTTTCTAAGCCAAACCTCAACTGACCACTGAGTTTGCAAGAGCTGAAATCATAAATTTAAGGCGTTCTCGAGGCCGTTTGCCCACTTTCGGGTCGGCACACGGGTGATGACTGCATCTCTTCGATCTCGACGTCAAGTTGGGATTCATGGAGGCGCGGAAGATTTGCCGTAGTTTACCTTACTTTCTTGTATCCCACCACAAACACAGAAGCTTAGAAAAAAGACAAACCCATCGTCAATTTCTGATATTTCAGCCTCGAATTCCACCTTTGGACATTCTGCACAAGATCGCGACGTGGCTCTGCGAGCGGTATGACTTCCGGTTCTTCCGTCTCCATCTAACCTGCACTTTAGGGATCACGTAAAACTTCGTGACGTCCACCCGATTACGCATTCAAACCTCTACCGGATCGATATTGTCGATGAGAGTCGCCACAAGAGCAAAGGTAATTATCATAAAAACTACTCATGTGTTTTTTATTGCTTTTATTGCTATTTCCGAAAGAAGATTTGTATTTGCTCACTTCTGTTGTGAAAACTTAGACTTTTTCCAATATACAAAAAGTCCAAATGCACGGGCGCGATTGGTGGATTTGCACAACGCCCAGCTGCTGGTGTCTGTATCGGCAGGGCTCAATGAAGGCGAGAAGCCTTTCAAGCTCAAGCCTGTGGATCCGAGGGCCATACACTCCAGTAAAAAATAACT